CATTGCAATTTCCGTACAGGTCTATGAAAAAACTTGGCGTACTTTCATATTTCAGAATCGTATTTTGACCTTTTGACATTAACCTAGGACATTTCCGTACTTTCGAAAAAAAACTTTGGCAATAACTTTTGAACTGTAAGAGCTAGGGCTTTCATACTTCACATATGTAAACCTTGTGAGGAGACCTTTCATTTGATAGCAAGACCTTTGACCTTGGAGTTTGACCTACTTTTTACTATTTTAACCTTGGTCATAGCTTTTCAAGGGTTAGAGCTAGTGCTTCTATACTTCACATATGTATTTTATATTGCAAGAATTTTCATTGGTCACCAATTACTTTGATCTTTTGACCTTGACCATTGCAATTTCCGTACAGGTCTATGAAAAAACTTGGCGTACTTTCATATTTCAGAATCGTATTTTGACCTTTTGACATTAACCTTGGACATTTCCGTACTTTCGAAAAAAAACTTTGGCAATAACTTTTGAACTGTAAGAGCTAGGGCTTTCATACTTCACATATTTAATCCTTGTGAAAAGACGCTTCATTTAATATAAACAATCTTGACCTTGGATTTTGACATAATTTTACAGCCATAACATTTGAACAGTAAGGGCTAGAGCTTTCATACTTCACATATGTAATCCTCGAGAAAGGCCTTCTTTAGAAACCAACAATCTTGACCCTTTGACCTTGACTCAGGGGATCGTCCTACCTTTAAAAATGTTCAGCTTAGTCATAACCTTTGAACGGTGTTGCTACGGTTTTATATTTCACATTAATTTTTAGTATTTGTGAAAAGGCCTTACTTTAGGTACCATTATATTTTATCTGCATTTAAGAATGCTTAACTTTCGCTGTGTTGCCATACGGGGCATCAGTGTTTCACAAACACATCTTGTTTTTTTTTCTTTTATTTGACAAATGTATATGGCATAAAATCAATACCTCGGTTCCCCTTAAAAACGAATTTTTTATTCAGAATGTTTTTAATTTATTTAAAAATTTAATGCTACTGCTATTTTGTTCTATTTTAGCTATAATACTTTTATGCAAAATTAAAGGTATTTGGATACAGATTGAGATTCGATGTTAATGTTTTCTCAAATTTTCGGTATAATATCATGATTTATATGCGACAACAAATCATCTGGGATTCGCGCAGACCATCGGACTTTTGTGTCATTATCAGATTTTAGAGTCTTACCTGTTTCCATATAGCATTTCACACGGAAATAAAATTTTTAAGAAAAATACTTTATGAATCTGGAAATTATTGAAGTAGGAATTTCGGTCCGCTTTTGAAAAATATAGAGTAGAAATATCATAAAGCAAAACCAACTCACTAATATTGCCAGTTCAAAGATTTAAAACACATCCGGTGAAATGTTACATTAACAAAACATAGAGACAAAAAAAGATTATATTATCGATTCTAAGTAGTGCATATAAGACAACCAAAAATAGGGAAAAGGTGTGTCGACTCCAGATTTAAAAAGAACAAACTAATTCAGAGAATTCGTGTCCCCCGCTTAGGGAAAAAGTCGGATCCCCCTGACTGAATTTGTAGAATTATTAAATGTATACATGTATACTGAAGCAAATAAAATACATGTATGTCAATATGCATATAAAGATTTGATTGCTTATTCTTTATCTCATACGTGTTTGTGATACAGGCCGTTGGATAAACTTATGCTTTATGTCGGCAAGCCTCGCGAATATATACACCATTTCAACTCGTTGGATAAAGCCAATATCAAATCACACAATATAGATATCCTCTATTTATTATGTCATTGTGTATAGAAGATTCTTTTTGTATGGAATATTTATCACAATGGAATGATGATTTTATGATTTTTTACAAGCTAGACCTCATAAATTTTTCATTTCACATTCTTAATACTATCATTTAGTAAAAAAAAAAAAAAAAAAGTATTTCGAAAAAAAAGAGAATGGATCGTCCGGCATTCGATCCTGGGACCTCTCTCATTACATGTGAGGCGAGAGGCATACCACTAGACCACCGGCACGGACGAACGGACAGACAAACCCAAATTAATATCCCTCCACTTTTCAAGCGGGGGACAAAAAAATGAAAAGGGGGTCCAGCCCCAAGGTAAACTGGCTTGTCTTTCTGATCATCGGGTTCCGGCTTGGGGGCCATAAAACTCAGACGAATTTACTTTGGATCTCAGTCTCACTTTTCCACTATATATTCCTTTGGTAAAAGTGAGACCAAGACCAAAAGTGAGCTCGTTTAAGTTTTATGGCCCCGGGGCCCGTACGTGAATGAGACACGAAATGTCAGTCGACTCTAGCCCCCAAGTGCATGCATGTGCAATAAATCGTTAACATTTTTATCGAATCTCCGATGTTTAGAAAATTGAGTTTAGCAGTTATTGTATTCATTTTTGAAAAATACATAGGATTAGATCACAAATTCAAATATTTGTAGATTACTGCGTGCATACAAATGTATTACTGAACCCCCCCCCCCCGGATCCGCGTCTGACTGGGAAATGAACTTGGCTTGTCAAGACATCAAATCCCGTGAAGCCATTGTGTGATGTGATGACATATACCAACTAAACTCTTTTTAACGGTTCTATATATATCGATGCAGCTTTGCATTTGAGAATGAAATATTATACGCACAAACGGAACAGTCTATCGCATCGATGAACGTCTGGCCTTGAAAGTTCACATAGCTCCAAGATTTGAAATATTTACATGGACGTTAGACCTATGTAATCTATGCCTAGTACAGAAAAACTCTGTTTATGATAAAAAAAAGTTTGTTTCTGAGGAAAAAACTTACTATTTTAGGAGTTCTCCGCAGGTGAAGTTAAAAGAAGAGGTGTCGTCTGTTTCTGTTTCCCCATGTACCTTCATAGGAAATTCGGATTAAAAAGGCAAGCGCGTTTTCAGTATTCTAATGGACATTAGTGATCTAGTAACTATTGCAAAAATATCCATAATGTCTCAATTATTCCATATTGTTAATCATCATCAAGTTAAAAGTTTTTAAAGCAAAGCAGTTTCACTAGATCACTGTCATACAGAAGTCCCCTCGCTATAATGTGATTCAGTCACGTTATGACCTCTGACCCCTTTTCAATTTTCTGGCTCATTATTTGTGGTGTGTGGAGCAGGGGGGAGGGGGGGGGGGCAATCTTTTGCCTGCATTTTTCATTATAAACATTAAATAAAACTGAAAATCTGTAGGCCTATGGTCCAAAATTTTATTTAAACATCCAACATTAATTTTGCTTTGTTTGTTCATGCCTTTTATTGTCAACATTTTTTTTGCATCTCTGCATGATAAAACAGGTGCGGATCCAGGAATTGAAGTTAGAGGCGGCGCCAAAAGTAGGCAAGGGGTCTGGGGCCGCCCATTCTCGGCAATGTAAATATAGCATGTTTAATTTTCAATTTATCAATTCATTGCATCATACAGTTATTTACCCATATGGGTCAAGTACATATGTACATGTATTTACATACATGTACAAAGATATACAGGCGCAGTTTTAATAAGTAATTTACTCTCTAAATGTTAATTACCTCGATTATTTTAATTTCTCAATTCTAATGATTGTTTTATAAAAGTGCAAACAACCGGTAGCATTAGTCTTTTACACATACATGCATATTTGATGTATTCCTTTTAGACAGGATTATTGTTGAAATGATTTATGTCAACTGCTAATTGTATAATTGTTTTGCTATTCATTGGCTTATCTTTTCCTTATTATTGTAACAATTTCATACTTGTCTGTTATGGGCTCTAAATTAGAAATAAAAAAATGTTCTGTTCTGTTCTGTATATTCCTTGCTTGCATATATTCATATTACATTCTAAAAAATGAAATTCGACATCAATAACATTATACACGAAGTACATAATTTTTTTAAAAAAAACATCGGGAAGTTTTTAGTCCTCGGTGGTAGTTTATTTATTCCCCATCCCCAACCCACTTAAAAATATAATCAGCCCATTTTTGTTTTTTTTGGCCGACTATGTTTACAGGAGTTAATAACCTTGCATCCTGGCTGTTAGAGGGCCCTATCCCTGATTCATTTAATTTACTCTTTTCTCCCCAAATTTAAATAAAATTTCTCAAATTTCATGCAGATTTTATATAAAATTTAGCTTGATTTTGAGACTTTAATCAGTATAGTCAATAAATTGATAAAATACGTATTTTAAAAGCCTTTAAAGATTTTATCTTTAATCAACATTTTAACTTGACATAAGACATCAGTATTTCCAAGATCAATCTTATTCTATTTCTTTTTAGCAAAATCAGCTTATTTTAATGCTTAAAATCCAACGCACCTAAGCTTATCTATTATGACATATTGTGAATGAAATGTCGTCTGAATTGAAAATATTATGACCACAATTATCAATTTCAGGAAACCTCATTTTTTCTCTCTCTCATATATATTTAAAGCAATATGGGCTGTATCATTGAAATTTTTATTTTGCTGGTAAAATGTGCTATTATGATTAATTTTTATGTAATTAAAACACTTATGACCAATGAGCCCAAAATAAAGTTTAAATATGTTTCAGAAGAATATTTTTGTACAACCGAATATACAGTATTATATAAGAAATCATTATTGTACAGGACGACAATAATTCAATTTTGCTTCAATCAAAGCTTATACAAAATTTTTCATCGAAAATATAAGCAACAGAAGTTTATAAATGATTTATTTTTCTGTCATTTAATTAGTAAATCACAAATTTGCAATAAAATTTTCCGATGTCAAGCATGCAGCTCATATTGCTTTAAAGAAACCCACCTTATATAATAACTTATAACATTTTAGATCATGTCATGTTGCAACAAAAAAATAAAGTTGTTTGTGTTTTTTTAAACAGATTTAAAAAATTACGTTGATGTTTTTCGTTTTGTTTTCTATTCCGCGATTTACGAAGACCTATTATTATACGTCATAATACAGTGTCGTTGCAGTTACGTCACAATGAAATCTACAGTTTTTGTTGTGATTCCAAGCAAACAGTGTTAAAAATTTTAGCTCTGTATAAGCTTTTGCACAATGATGGAGGCACAGGAAAGGCGAAAGAATAAGACAAACACCATCCACCTTCTTCCAAATATTCAACTGCAGTCATTAAAAAAGACGGAATCGGAAAGTTTTGTGCCATACACTGATAAAGGAAGATGGCCAAGGAATTTGGTACAAGGGTCCCAAACTCAACCACAGCATTCATCATCTTGCGATTGGCAGGCACAGCCTAGAAGAGAAAAACAGCCCAGTGGTAGATACCAAGTTCCACCTCCCGTTCCTTTTTCATACCAGTCTAATTCCAGTTATAGGAATGAAGTCCAAAGTTCCTTCCAGCCAGTGGAGAGACCTACTACTTATTCAGAATCTCCTACAGGACTTTTCAACCCACCACCAATTGCCCTCTCCGAGTGGAACCAACTTTACGGATTTCCAGGGAATACTTATCCCCCTGGTGATGGCTTTGTACGCCCCAGTGCAGTAAAAAAAGTAGTGGAAAATATTCGTAAATCAGACACGTGCACATTTTCCAAAACTAAAGCTACATCTTCTGAAGTAAAGAATGATGGCCTTAAAAGAGAGGTAAATAAAAGCCCGGAAATTCGGTTAACTCTTTCCACCAACTGCATATATGAACCAGACTCGACCTTGATGTGGCGGAGGATTTTTCCCAACTGTTCTGACACGGCTATGGACCGTGTGCTTAGTCCATCGTGTATAAAATCTGAAGAAGATGTAGCCTCCCAATCTCCTAGTAATCACACGATAGTTGGAGATCAGAGTACCACGACATGCGATTCATTTGCAGAGGAGAGATTTGTTGTGCTGAATGACAATAGCGACATACCACGTTCTTCCGGTTCTTTACGTGCTCCTCCACACATCAGGAGCGAACTGGCATCTTCTTCCAGGTCTGTCTATAATACTGCTCCTCTTGTCAGTAGGAGCTCATCTTCAGAAGAAGACAACGTTGATATAGCTCCTCAAATATACAATTATCAAATCCCTCGCCCAAATACAAGTACTAGTAAGTGCCGGAATTTTTATTACTTTGTATTATGTATAATAATATATTAAATGCATTTATTTATTTCATTTTTTTAATTCGATTTTGGGATTAATATTTCGCTTAAGGATTTGAAATGAAAAATTAACTATATTTTGATCCTTTTTATTTATAAGATATTTGTCTATGCACTAAGATATAGTATTTGCTGTCTTTTTAAGGTAAGACTGGTGGTTTTCCTGAAAGAATGTATGCCAGTGGCTCCTATTCAACAAGTTCCTTCGAGTCGGCAGTCGGTGAGCCCATGAGCGCGTCTACCCGCAATTCTTCTCGAGCCAGTGATGGGCGTAGTTCGGGTACATCATCCACAAGTCAGTCATCTCCAGTCAGAGAAGGGCGTACCTCGGGTAAATCATCTACCCTTAAATTATCTCCTGTGTGTGATGGACATAATACGGGTACATTATCTACCCAGTCCTCCCTGTACGCTATGGACAGTGACTCCGAGATGAGAAAAACATCGCTGCCTATATATCCCAACGTAACACAGAGCTTTCAAGAAAAAGTACAGAATGAGCCATGCCAAAAAATGCAGACGCACTTTGCAGAGATTGGTTCGTACTACAAAAAATGTTACGACCACGCCAGGATCTATGATGTCCGATTCTTAGTAGACAATGAAATTATCTATGCTCATAGAGGTGCACTGTGTGCAGTGAGTCCATATTTTGAAACTATTTTTATCGAAAACAGTCAAATAAGATCTAAAGCAATTACTGAGATTCGGATAAGAGGGTTGACAACACGTTCCTTGAAGACATTCCTAGATTATGCCTACACTGGACAATTGAAAGTAGTATCAACAACAATTCTAGATCTAGTGAAAATATCAACTCAGTTCAAGATTCCTTATATAAAAGAAAAGTGCATCAAAGAGTTAGAAACCCTCAAATTTGAAGACCTTCTTATGTTGCTGGTGGCAGTAAGGGAGGATTCAGTACATGAATTAATGATACCCATACTCCGGTGTATTTCGAGGAAATTTCTGGATATATCTATTTGCAAATCTTTTCTGGAACTAGACGTTGGAACCTTATGCGTTATTCTTTCTTACGATGAATTGGTAACGTCAAGTGAAATGGACGTCTTCTCTGCCGGCCTAGAATGGATCAATGCACGTCCAAATGAACGTCTTCAGCATCTTGAAACAATAATGAAATGCATACGCTTCCCACTGATGTCCCAACAAGATCTGGTTGACTGCATGGACAGATGCAGCCTTCTGGCTGCCAATGATAATTGTCTCAGCATGATTTACAAGGCAAACTGGTATATATTAAAGGCATTATCTATTAATTGGTGCATGTATTTTTAGTTTATACCATACTTTATTTATTCGATCATATTGCCACTAATTTTTTTCAAAGGATTAGAACTGTGATGGCACTTAACAGGCAAGACCCCTTAAACCTAAATATGCCAGACTCAAGATGCCTTACTGCAAACGAACATTCAAACAACAGTACCAACCATATCAATGTAAGTGCTTTTGTTTCATCTATTACTTTAAGGTCGTCAAATTAAACGATGTTAAGATGATGACGATACGTTTATTTTTGCTTAAAACGATTATATATATTGCTCTAATGATTTTCCTTGATTGTAGAATAACGCCACTCCGGTTAATGTGTTGGACATCTCATTTGGAAGTATCGAAAGTTTCGAAAATTACTCCATGTACTCGGAGAGTTTTGCCGGAAGTAGAGAATCGTTCGAACCTTCTCCATCACAGGAAATAGGTGAGCAAATCTTAATCCGCAGTAGGCCTTTGTAATTTTAGACTGGATTCCTTGGCTCTTATAATGAATTAAATAATTTTTTCATACTAATATTGGGGATCTTTTTTGGCTTTGTATAGATGGGAATTTTGCTAAGGAGCGTAAAGTGTATCAAACACTCAAACCAGAGCTGAATGATAACTCTTCAATGATTGTGCTGGGCCAGAAGTTATACGTGATAGGTAAGTATATACTGAATAATAATATACATGTACCGCTTTACATAATCGAGTCATCTTGGAGTTTTCTTAAAAGTACCGGTACATTGAATTTCAGGAGGATTGCGCTATAATAACGACAACCCACTTCCCCGAAGAGATGTTTGGGTTTACTCTCCGGAGCGTGGCTGGCAGAAACTGACGTCACTGAGAACTGCCCGGATGCACCACGCACTCTGCGTTTTTGATGGTTGCATTTACGCCATCGGTGGCCTTGGGAGAAACAAAAGGTACTAGATTCTACCTCTTATTCTATTTGATTGTTTCAGAATTAGTCGTTAACTAAAAAAGGAATCGTATTTTCTTGGTCTACCACTTATGCTGTTACAAATTACATAGGCATCGGAAGCAAATTGAAAGGGGGGCTAAACCAACTAAAAAAGGTAACCCCCAATTTTTAATGCCTGTTTTATGTATATATTTGCAAATAAATTGGAGGGCTAAGCCTTTCCCCCCCCCTCCCCCTCCGGTTCCGACGCCTATGAATTATACGAATTTAACCAAATGCTGTAAAATTCATACCATATATGTTTTAAATCTTTTAAGTCTGATTTTGTCTGTGGAATATTTCTAGAATTCTGAAGTCAGTGGAGTGTTACAATCCATCCACAAACAGCTGGCATTTCGTCAAGTCTCTGTCGACACCGCGTGCTGGAGCTTGTGCCGCAGAGCTGAATGGAGAGATATTTGTTGCTGGGGGTTTTGGGTACTCCTTGAATGGAAATTCTACTATCCTTGATAGTGTTGAATGTTACCAGCCAAGCACTGACAGGTACATATGTGGACATGGTTAACGTGACTTCATGTTTGTATAACTTTAAGCAATTTTTTACAAGGATCTTTACATTTTTAGCCGTCTCTCATACAGTATTTTTTTTGTTGCAGATGGATTGCAAAGGGTAGCCTTAGATATGGTCGCTGTCATGCCACAATGACTTGCATTGAAAATAGTCTGTACCTTAGTGGAGGATTGGCTTTTGATAAAAATTCGTCAGTTGCACTAAGTGTACAGGATGTAGACTTGTATGATGCAAACACAGATTCCTGGATGTTGCGTACCTACTTGGATAAAGCGCGCCATAGTGCAGCTTCTTTTGCCTTAGGTTGGATATTGAAAACTCCACTGTGTCGGAGTTATTTGAATCGTTTTTACTATCATATACATGGACCTTTCAATAGTTTATTGTGTGTCTTAGCAATACCAGAAGAAAATACTATGATGGTTCTTTTGGTCATGCTTTAACTTGTGCTGTTTTGTTTTAGGTAAGAAGATGTATTTGATTGGCGGGTTATCTTCCAATCAACGGGAAGATCTGCACGATGATATAGAGTGTTGGGATGTACAGAGGAACGCATGGCTCTCTACTTTTAAGCTGCCAACTGAAGTTCAGTGGATGAAGGGCCTCGCTTAATTCTAGCCGGAATTCGAATCCATTTAAAATAAATCCGAATTTCATAATTTAAAGACTATAAGGATTGAAGACTTGTTAATGTCATTATATATAAAATGTTTACATTTCAAATTTTTTGTTTCTCAAATGTCTAGTCTTTTTTATTGGAGTCAGTGTATGTATTAATGCTGATCTATCATATTTTAAAAGAATAACGCATGTTGAAAGTCATTTGTTTTTATTTATTTATCTAATTTATTATTTTTGAGATTTTAAAATACTATTAATTATTCGTGATTATTATAAATGTTTAAAAAAAATCGTTACGCCATGGCCATTGCTTAACATTGCAATTGTGACTGTTTCCATACATTGACAAAATCACTGTTGACCGAGGAACGCAAGATTCAAGTTCATACATCGGTGCCTGAAGTATGGGTAGTATACATTTTATAGGATAACATTCTTGCAGTTTATGATGATGTCTCTGATACGACTGTATCACAAATGGTTTAATATACTTAAAAAAAAAGAAACATGATAGAGCTAGCCTAAATGTTTGTAAAACAAGGATATCCCCATACGGCACCTTATAACGAAGGTGAACGTTTCTCAAATGTCAGGCCAAACTCAAAGGTCAAGACATGAAAAAAAAAAATTACCAAAAGGTCTTCTCATATAAGGAAAACATTTGTGATATAGGAAAGCCCTAGCACCAACGTTCAAGCTAGGATTGTAGCCAGTTCAGGTTAAAGCTTTTCAAGAGTAGGCCAAACTCCAAGGTGTATGAGAGACACATCTTTTTTCTTTCTTTTTTTTTTTTAGCTTGAAAGCAAAAACATTCTGGATTACCGTAATAGAAGTATTGTTTTTTTTTTTGACAGACGACGGTTTTTTTAAGGACAGGTGATACGGCAGATTTTTTTCCTTCCAGAATTCATGAAAACAACAAGTAAAACATGTTACTTCAGTAAATAGAATAGTTTTACAAAATTACCTACCTGTAATAAAAAGCGATATAAAGTAAAGATTAATACAAGGGATACAGGGAAAATGTGGTTTTAACTGCACCTACAGTATATAATTATATCGATAAATATAACAAATTTTAATGCAGATATGTTTTATGTATACAAGTTTAAATTAGTCTTTTAAATAATCATAATTTATATGTTATTACCATGCCAAGAAAACCTTAGCATTCTCTCCATATAGCGAACTCAATAAAAGCCGAATTAACGTTAAAGCCATATATGGCGTAACTGATCAAAAAATATATTTTTGAAAAATACAAAATTAAGTGAAGAAATATAGTTAATACATTTAAATTAAAGCTTTTCATACAATTCTGAACACGGAGAACACCTCGTTTCATCTAATTATACAATTTCATCTTCTCTGTAATGTGTTATCTAAATCTTTTGTATTTTCTTCCGAGTCCGAGAAAATTCCGAGAATCCAAATTAAATTGTGATATCTTTATAACGCAATTGACTTAGATTTTGTAATTTACGGAAAAGTTCTATCTTTATATAAAGTAATGATACAATTAATAAGTTCTTATAATTTTAGTCTAATAATTTTCATTGTAAATACGCCATATATGGCTTTAATCTGTGATTCTTCCCCGGGGAGATGTGCGCCAAGCAATTATGTCAGCAGGTTTGAGGGAGGGATCTTAAAATTTACTGGGTTTAAATTATAGGTAGAATACTAATTATTTAGAAGATTTGCCCCCCCCCCGTCATTTCTTTTTTCTTTGGGGAGGGGGGGGGCGGGAGTCAAAAATAGGGAAGGAAATTAATTATAGTAAAGTAATTCTTTAAAAAAAAAAAAGCTGTATTTCATTGTTTTACGTAATTCAATTTCAAAATATTTTTTCTTAGTACAAATTGGCATCTGGTAGTTGTGGAAGTACCGCGTCGAAATAAGATGGAGACGAGTACTGAATGGGTAGACGTTACCCGATTGGCTATGTAAACATTTTCATTTAAAAGTGAATATTTTCTGTTGATTTTTTTTCTTATTTTCTTCAATTCAACTTTTTTAAATATAAATTTTGGTACCAGTGCCTCTGACATTTTACGTATTTTGTAAATAAATAAAGATTTTTGACAGGAACTATTTAGGGCATAAGGGACTACTTCCTGGGGTAGACGTTTATTTTTTCTCTAACTAAGAAAGCTTAAAACCTAGGATCCACCCCCAGAAGTCTGCTGCCGTAAATTGTCTTGCCGGTGTTTTGGGAATATGGGTGATTTGCATCAATTACACTTTTATTAACTCCATTGCTGCGGAAAACAGGACGAGATTTCTTGGCATGAACGGCGAATTTGAATTTGTAGGCGACACAAAAATAAGTTCTTCGTTCACGTTTTTGTAGAGTGCTGTTATATTGACCATACTTAATATTAAATAAACATATTTTATTTGATTAATACAATAAAAATTGGGCAACAAGCAAAGCCTATGTATATCTTATTTACCAAGCCTTATATAGTTATATGTATTTTATTTGTTAGTTTCTTTCTTTCTTTCATTTATTTATTTATTTATTTTTATTTATTTATCTATTCATTTATTTATTTTTATTTACAAGTAGGGTATAGAATACATCTTGATTCATATCGTCTAACTGCTTACGAGAAATAAGTAAGTAGCTAAGGATTTATTTCAAATTTCGGGCCAAAATGGCATACAAAAGCATAAATCACAAAATAAATGTAATTTGAAAAAAAAATTGATAACATCATTTTCATCACTCATAAGCCATATAAACTTGTTTCTATTAGATAAACTTGATAAATTCTTACAGATCGTATTTATAGTTTCTGAAAATGTACAGAATCTCATGAGCCTGAGTTTTTACATCGGGATCGGGATTCAAGAATATATCTGTAGTGTTTTCAACTTTTTGTAAACGAAGGAATAATATCTTTAAATTGTGTAACAAATAAGCTGCTTTTGTATAAATGATTGCGAATTGATTCAAAAACAGGTAAATCACTTTCCAGTTTTCAATTATTAAGAATCCTTGGATGCCTTCTTGTGGGCTGTTTAAAAGGTTTAGAAGCTAGGTTTAAAAGCGCGCCTGTTTCATGTGTGGCGCTAATTTTGAATATTAATAAAATCAGCTGATATTTAATTATTTTCAGCATATAAAATGTAGCCGCTGAATATGTTTTTCATGACTACATGGTCTGAATCTGAGCACAAAATTGAAGAAAAATAAGCTGGAACTTTTAGATAAAGAAGGTAAGTATCAGTCTCAGGGTACATATGTACGTGATTCTGTTATATTTTATATAACAGAATCACGTATATTATATAATATAATCATAATAATTACACAAAACTCTGAATTACATGAAGTAACCCCCCCCCCCCCCCCCACCTTCCCAGAATCACACTCATTTACACTTTCAGAGGAAATGCACGGGCAAACTGTTTATTACCATTGTCTTTTACTATATTTTATCTACAAAACCATAATATGGCTTTGCTGAAAATAGGCCTAGTGTTCAAAACTTCTCAATATTAGAGGGAAAATCAAATTACCCCATGATGAAATGATATGTGCTAATCCTGTTCAAGTATAAATGTATTGATAAATTGTATATAATTCCACATGATTTAAAAATAATTTCTTGCTTTGTATATGTTTGTAGATTAAATCTGTTGAAATCAATGACAGGAGTAACAGCCTTTGTGGAAGGATGGGACTTTGTTCAAACCTTAGGAGAAGGGGCCTATGGGGAGTAAGTATGAACACATGCAGAGTGAATTTGAACATGGGCATGTGGAGAGTAAGTTTGAACATGGGCATATGCAGAGTGAGTTTGAACATGGTCATGTGGAGAATATGTTTGAACACAGGCACATGGAGAGTAAATTTGAACATGGGCATGTGGAGAGTTAGATTAAAGTATGAACAGGGGTCATATTTGGAGTATATATGATAATTTTGATTTAATACATGCAGTGACATTTATTATGCTTAAGTTAAGTAGCTAAAATGAATTCTTCAAATTAATACAGAGTGAAGCTAGCTGTGAATTCAGATACACAAGAAGCAGTTGCTGTCAAAATCATTAATTTGGAGAAAAATCCTGCTGCAGCAGAAGCAGTCCGCAAAGAAGTAAGCATAAAATATTAAAATTGACATGAAGTTCTCTATGCAACTGAATAAAGATCATTTTTTCTCAAAACCAGCCTATGGCTTGATTTGAGAATCAAATATTTTTTGTACAATTCATTAAATTGAACATTTATATCTCTAGTACAATGGATATGTTGATGAAAGTTCAAAGTCCCCACTGTTCTTTATGTAATTTAATCTCAACGTCTCTAAAAATTTGATAAAGTTTTCTCTAGGTCCCATCAAGTTCTAAGATAATGAGGTCTGAATGTACATTGTGTTCTTTAATGAGAAAAAAGAAATCTCATTTCATGTATTAAAAAAATGTGAATCAATCTTCAAAATAAAAAGAGTCTGAATATCTTGTTAGAAAAATCAAGATATATGTATACAGTGTTTAAAAGTTTTATGAAAGTTTTTTTTTTCTCCAAAGTTATTTCAGTGTATATGAGAAGTATTTACCCGGTATTTTTCAGGTATGTGTACACAAACTACTAAGCCATGAAACCATCATAAAATTTTATGGGTTCCGAAAAGATGGAAAAATACAGTACCTATTTCTAGAATACGCCAGTGGAGGTGAACTGTTTGATAGAATAGGTAAGTCTTTTGTGAAATTGGCAAGCTGTCAAATAGTACACAAGGTTAATGTAAAACACTTTGTAATGTGAGTTTTTCCCCCTACCCGAACCATTCTCAAAATATCATAAATGTTACAGCATTTAAAATGATTCATTAGTTAAGAGCATAATTTTTAACCATCTTTCTGCTACATAATAAATTGTTTATACATGTATACTCTTTAAACTGCAAAATACTGGTATATAGGCCATGAAAAGTGATTTTAATATTCAATCATTCTAAAAATATGTAAATTTAAGTTAATCCCAGGAAATGACTCCAGGGGTAGGGTGGAGCAACAGTAAATTATCAAAGGGGAAGAAACTTTAAAATCTTTTTTTTTTTAAGAAAACTGCATTAGTTGTGATAAGATTTTATACAGTATTAAAATACAACAATCCTCAGGTTATGGAATGAAATATGAAAGCACATGCACTAAAAATA